GATCATCCGCGCTCAAGCTCAAGGAGCTGCCCGCCCGTTCCTGCCGCGCGTGCTGGCCACCAGCGACCTGCCTTAGCGCTGCCACCTTCCTCCTCCTCAAGCCCTAAGGCCGTAGAAGGGGCCATCGCGGAAACTACCACCTTCAGACGTCTCCTCTATGGAGGTGCTGTGGCTTCCATTCATGCCCATCGTCTGCTTTAAGAGCCTGGCTCCTCCCAAGGCCCTCAGTCCTTGCGCCCGAACCCACCGCCTTTATCCTACTTTAGTCCAACCTTGCGATCTTCCAGAAACTATTAGTCGTGTTCAGAGTAAGCTACCTAAAGGTGTCGAGATAGCGCACAAAACCGTATCGCATACCGACTTCCGCGCAGCCACCGGGTGGGGGTCGCCGTCGATGGGCTGAACAGCAGGAGGAAGGAACAAAAGTCCATCTCTCAAGTTTGAGCCCAGCACTCAGCCAGGGACCGAGTATCCATGACCGTGCGCACCGTCACCCACGCTCCTTGCTCAGTTAAGAAGTAAGGCCCGATCGTCGAAGACTAGCCAAGACGCCATGAATTTAGAGCCCAAGAGAATCGAGCATGCTGGAGCCATCCTATGGGTCTAAGTATGTGGGTTGTCTGTGCTGGATGCTATCGTCTTCCGTTTTCGGAGAGAGAGGCCACTTACCAGAGCCCTGGGAAGAATCGACAACGGCATGAGACGTCGTCCGCTGCATGATAGGCGCCAGCTGTCTTGGGGTTGTCAGAGGTTTGCTGTCAAGGTCCTTGTCTGGGTATTTCGACTATCTGCCTCTTCAAACGCCCACGCAAAACGTGTTTCATCTCTCGGTGGAAGCCTTCCGACATTCTATTTGTTAATCTTCACTGTAGGCTTTGCCTTGCTTGGATGCAGGTGCCATATGGCGGCTTCAGATGGAGCGGTATAGACATAGCGGTTTCTTCACGAGTATCACACCACCAAAGCAGTGCTAGCCGTCCAAGGGGTGCTTTGGCTTTGACTTTCAACGCATTGTGACGCCCTCGTTTATACCAAGACAGGTAACGAGTCACTTTCACCTTGTTCTTGCGCGACCCTGCCATGGGTTGATCTGAAACGACCCAAGTGTGGATAATGCCCGGGGTGAAAGCTAGTCCACCGTCAGTGCCCCTTACGGGGCCAACCTGCAGTCACAAAGTTGGGATAGAAGCTCCTTTGTCAGTGAACTCGTGTGTAAGGGGATGATGAAGAGGTTCTTTCGGTCACGGGTAGTGTCTGGGCAGGCTGCACTCTGGCAGTTGGGTTGCCCACGTCTGCAGCCGTTCATAACACGGCTGGCAGGCGAATCGGACACTCAATTATTCACCTAGCGTTTGACGCTATATCAGTGGTGCTAAGGTGACGAAAGGGAGACAACAAGCGCATAGTACGATTTTCAAACAATAGAGTTGCAGCTCAGATCGCATACATCGACATGCATAGGGCACACTGCCAACGCAGCAATGTGTTACCCAGCTATTCCCGAGACGATGTATAATCACATGCCGCCACTATCAGGCGCAAAAGCTGAGCCTAACGATACCTTAAAAGCGTCAGGTCAACCAACAAGAGTCATTTTGCCGATGTAGTTGGTCTTGTGATCCAAAATTTTGCTCGCTTCGTACGTAGGTGGCCTGCAGCATGAGAAAGCTAACAATCAAGACCGATAAGTTGGCTGTTGCAAAATGGACCATAGACAGGTCTCTCCCAAGCTGTATTAACCTAGGGAAAATTCAAAGTACGAAGGGATGATACAAGACAAGTTACGTAGCTTAAAAGAGCATGCTTGAGATCCAACACTACAGGCAAAATCTAGAAGTCTTTCAAATGCTTAATATATTTGAGCCCCGACCTGCTCTCTTAACCCGTTGGTTTTGCTCTCAACCTGTCTCTATGCCGCAGACCCCTAGTGAAAAATCATCTATTAATATGGAATACAATAGTCATATGTCTTGTTAGAGTCAGATTTCTTACTGCCGTGACACTGCTTCATTGAATGTTAGTTGCAGGTGTCAAGGCCCTTCGTCCAACTAGGTACACAATTCCCATGATATCATTCTGTATAAGACTCGAACTATCACGTGCAATTTAAACTAAATACACTAGCTATCACTATACATTTTATGTGTAAAATCAAAGAGCCGTACATGAATGTTCAACCCACCTTCCCCGTTCCCACTGAGGATCCATGGCCAGGCCTTGCCCTCATCATTCTGACTAGCCATACTGAGATGCTATAATTGCGAGATACAATAAGATCTATGCGTTGCTATGTTCTTTTCTTTCGATTCATAGCTAGATTAATACCCTGTTATTGTTTTCTGTTCTAAAAATAAAGAGGATTTCCGCGGTTTCTAATTGGGTAACAGCGCAAATTGTCTCCGGATCATGATGGCTCGTAGCGGTAAGCTTCAAACTTGCCATGTTTGTCCAGAGGAGTACAACTCCAACTACTTTAACCGATTGCCCAGATGATTCGTCTCGGATCCAACTCACTTTAATCGCAACAAAATAAATTCAGGCGGCGCTCGGCAAAGCACGGCGATGGCCACCTGGGAAATTCACGACACTGCAAAGCAAGAACACAATCAACAAATGCCACAAGAACGGCCGATCCAGATGGGATAGTAGTAGACGCCGGTACTACATCACAATCCCGACTGGATACCATGCGAAATGGCTAAACCCATGGGCGGGAGTTACACACACTGATTCCATCGCGTGGGTGAATGGCTAAGGTGCGGATATAGGCCAACACCATTGCGGCTGCGAAAACGCCAACACAGATAAGTCTAACGTGGAACTCCATCCTCTCTCATACCGCAATAAATAGCACACACAAATCAATATACCGGCGATAAATACTGCACAGTCCTTGGTGGTCAGTGGCCAGCAATCACCAGATCATTGGTCCAGTCCTAATGAGTTCATATCGTCTTTTTTCTTATTTGCCTATTTGTGTATAAGTAGTCTCTTTTCGACTAAATCAGATCATCCAATGATTTGTCGGCATCTTGTTGAATGAGCTCCTTCATGCCCTACATTGAACAAGTCAGCTTCGCCTTCTCTCCCATGGTCAACATCAGGGCTCGGTCCTACCTCCGGCATAATGGGGCCACCATCCTTCCCTTTGACGTAACGGAAAGGCATCTGGGTGCTCTCATGCTCATTGAATTTGAGCTCTGGGAAGTCAAGGTAATCGATTTTGTCCAGCGCCACTGTGGTGGTCAAGTCAGTCGACAACACTTATTAGAACTCCGAGCAAACGAACCTCTTTCCTGCACCACGATACGAGTTACTCGCACGGCAGTATCGGTAGTCATCTGCGTAGGTCCCAGTCGGCGTCCCTCGAATCCTTTCTTGCGGAGCTCTGAGGTTCGATCTACCAAGGGCCAGTTAGTCCTCACGCCAACAGTGATCAATATCAATTCCACATACCCCTTGGGGGATCATCGCCTATTTAAATGTCAGCTTCCAAGTTTCTGAAGTCGCATTTGAAGATCACCGCATACCGAGAATGCCCCCAAACAAGAAAGCATCAAACTTGTCACCGTCTGCTGGGGAAAGATCTTGAGCTGCTGCCGGGTCTAGGAGGCAGACTCTAGATTTATCGGCGGCGTAAATCTCCTCAACTCCACGGTGCTCAGCAACAAAGGCCGGGACGGCTTTTAGGGCCGAAGGCACTTGAAAGTCGGGTGGGAGACTGGAAAGGGTGAATGTGCTGCCTGCGGCCTCCGATTCCTTGGCAATGGCGATGTACTCGAGCTCAGACCACGGACCAAGTTCCGGGTCCAGATGCTCGACAATGAATGTTTTAGATGAAGCGCTCATGGTTTATTGCCAGCTGCATAGGAGCTAGCGGGACGAATGCAAGGGGTGGTTTGTGTTGGTATTGATCCTTTCAAGTAGGACAGAAGTGAAAAGCTAAACCATCTACCACTTACTGCGGAGCAAAGCACTGTGGGGAGGCTTGTCACTGGCCTACTGGTAGACAAGAGCATCACCAACCAACAACGGCGTAGTTCTAGAACCCAAGGGCTAGACCGATGTGTGAGGCGTTCTAGAAATTCTAATGTTATTCGAGAAGGTTGGAATCACAATAAGTGTTTTATGCTAAGATCTATGGATCAAGTCCGCCTCGTGCTATGGTGCAATGCGCAATAGAGCCTGAGCCTTCAATAGTCAACTCTCCCCACCACACTTTGTTAATTCAGTCCCAAATGCAGTAACAAAACAAGCCACAGGACCTAGAAATGGTGGAACCCAAAGAAAGGGTCGAATATCTGGTTGCAATAGAGCACCAAATGTATTCGAAATTCATAATAATGTTCTTTCGGTCAAACATCCAACTTGCCAAAAATCAAATTAGACCAAGCATAGGGTAGGCATAGTTAAAGACATACGCAACACATCAAAGAGCTGGTGTCTAATAGGTGCATTTGCGTGGAGAAATGGTCTAGTGGTGAAGGATCCTGCCGTGGAGGCGGAGCTAGTCCCGGTACGGCAATATAGCCCCCGACCATGATCAGAGCTACGGCCATTGATACGGTACTTGGATCTGACTGCGTTTGCAGTGCGCATTGAAGTACCTGATATGCACAGAGCATTGCTGTGTATTAATATTCCTCCGAAACGGTCGGTTGAATGAATCCAATTCTAGCCTGCCTCCACCCATTACAATTTTAGCACGCGCGCTGCCTGCTTAGTCCGTGGTCGACGCCTCCCGCTGTTAGGAAGTTATACGCTCCGTCCAGGTCCCTTAATAAGCCCTGTCGTAAGCTCAAAACACATTTCTGTCCAGTTCGCCCTGGAACATCCCCTTTTTCGCTGCAGACCATCCGAGTTAAGCCAACTCATGGTTCGCAGATAATTCTTTCTTTCTTTGGGTAGCCTCATCATTGACTTGCGGAATCTTGTGCTGGGTCGCATACACTCCTTTTCGAACCTACCTTTGCGCCGTCGTCGACGCCATCGCTGACGCCATGGCTCTACGTTGGATGGCCGCCGGCATGCGACAATGGCCGGCCCTCCTCCTCCTGGGTGCATGGCAATCTGCCGTTGCTGTAGCCGAGAAATCCGCAAGCGATTACTATGTTCACAACCTTCCTGGCCTCCCGAGCCATCCCCAACCGGTGAACATGCACGCAGGGTATGTTGGATGGAAGGCCGTCGACGCCTGAGCTTGAGATGTCAATGGTGATGCTGACCCGAGTATCTGGACATTTAGGCACATCGAAGTTACGCCCGAGCACAACGGGAACCTCTTCTTCTGGCACTTCGAGAATCGACATATTGCCGATAGACAGCGAACGGTCATCTGGTTTAATGGAGGTCCCGGCTGCAGTTCCGAGGATGGCGCTTTGATGGAGATCGGCCCCTATCGATTGAAAGACGACAACACTCTCGTATACTCCAACGGCAGCTGGAATGAATATGCCAACCTCCTTTTCATCGATAACCCGGTCGGTGTGGGCTACAGCTACGTCGACACAGACAGTTATATTCACGAACTGGGGACCATGGCAGACAATATCGTCGTATTCCTCGAGAAATTCTTCAAAATCTTCCCCCATTACGAGACAAATGATGTTGGTTGAGTCCGTCTATACCTTGGCTTTATCTTTTATAACTGACAATTGGTAGATCTATCTCGCTGGAGAATCCTACGCAGGCCAATACATCCCCTATATCGCCAGGGCCATCCTCGACCGCAACAAGAAGAATCCTAACAAGCGATGGGATCTGCAGGGCTTCATGATTGGAAACGCTTACATCTCTCCCACATACCAGTACCATGCCTACCTGGATTTTGCGCTGGACAAGGGTTTGGTGAAGAGGGACTCGCCAATTCATGAGAAGCTGAAGGGCCAGGTCCAGAAGTGTGACGATGCCATGAAGAAAGACCCTGGCAAGGTGGAGTACCATGACTGTGAACAGATCTTGGCCAGGATGCTCGGGTGGCTGAAGAATGGAAATGGAGACGACGCTTGCGTGAACATGTACGACATCCGCCTGAAAGATAGCTACCCTAGCTGCGGTATGAACTGGCCCCCGGATCTGAAACACATCAAGCCCTACCTCCGAAAGAGAGCAGTTTTGGATGCCCTTCACGTGAACGACAACGGCAAAGAAGGCTGGTCAGAGTGCAACAGGAATGTGGGCAAGGCATTCAATACGAAAAATTCGAAGCCTTCCTTCCATCTCTTCCCCGGTCTGCTTGAGGAGATTAGGGTCCTCTTGTTTTCAGGGGCGGAGGATCTCATTTGCAGTTACTATGGGACGGAGAGACTGATGAATGCGCTGGAATGGGGTGGCCTCAAAGGGTTCCAGGTGGATCATGAAAAGACAGCCCCTCGCCAGAACTGGCGGTTCGGGGGCGAGGACGCCGGTTTCTGGCAAGAAGCCCGCAATCTGACATATGTCCATTTCAAGGGAGCCTCTCACATGGTCCCATTCGATCACCCCCAACGCTCTCGGGATATGCTCGACCGTTTCATGGGAGTAGCCGTGAGCCGCGATCAGATCGACAGCCATATTGATGGCAAGGAAACCCCAAGCATCCCCGCCACTAATCCTTACAACCCTAGCGAGGAGGAGCACCAGAAGCAGGTGGATGACGCCAAGTGGCAGGCGTACCGTAGATCGGGCGAGGTCGTTCTCGTCATTGTCGCGGTTGCTGCCGCTGGCTGGGGCTTCTTTGTCTGGCGCGAGCGCCGCAAGGTAGCTTCGTATCAGGCTGTCAGCGGAAACGACCCCAACGACTCGGATCTGAACAGGTTCCGCAGGAGGCGGGAGCATGGCGATCTGGAAGCATCGGCCTTTGACGAGAGCGAGCTGGATGATCTTCATCTGGAGACACCTACAGCTGACAGGTACGCTCTTGGCGACGAGAGCGATGATGAGGGGAAGGGCAACGAAAAGCCAGCTCCTGGGGGAGCGCCAGGCCCTAGCGCCAGGCCTGCACAGTCGTAAGCAACCTGAAGAGCGATGCAAGGCTCGTTTGATAATACTTGATTCAACTTGATGCTTCGCAATGGCTTTGTATTTACTCAACTTTTCCTTCCTTTTGGGTTCATTCGGCTAGTCATGGCATGGAGGGCGTTTGGGCATGATAAGGCTTAGTAACAAATATGATATAGAGGTCCAATATTTCGTTCTGACAGTGTCTACTACCAACTGTGTGTCCCTCATCCTGAAAAAGTTTGAACCTGCGAGACATCGATGCAATTGACACTTGTTATGCAAGGAGGAAGCAAGCTAATGTGCTTGACCTAAGTGTTAAGAGCGGCGTTGAGGTGGAACCATCTTGTGCGTTGTGTGTGGTCAGCTGCTTGATGTTTGAACCCTGTATGCTTAATTTAGCTTGAACACAACACGTTGAGCGAGAGAGTTTTGTGAAGAAGTTTAATAGAATATGTCACATAGTGGCAAAATGCATGCTGTTGTTGTCGTTGTTTTTAAAGTTGATGTGGGGGCAAGGCGTTGCTGATCGTCGACGTTCGTCAATGCACGTCGTCGACGATGGTTGAGATCAAACAGGTTTCCAGACCAAACCCTGGCCCCCCTTTTTGACGAATGATGATTGCGCAGCTAAGAAACAACCGCCGGCGCATCAAATCTTCTCTTGGATAATTTGATCATTCAGTAGGCTTTGGAACTCGTGGTGGAAAAGAATACATTTACGTCATGTTGGGTTTCAGTGCAATTCTGGGCGGGACATGTCTTTTCTTTGCCCCAAAAAAAAACGACGAGAGCAACAAGAATATTTCTTTGTATTGGACTAGATGTGGAATATTATGTAGGCTAGTATGATGGGCCATGACTTCTTTCACGACGCTCGTGTAAGATGATTGTTGGTGGCAGGGAATCGTAGGAACGGCTGCTTCTTGGATACTGCGTATCCGATGATTTGTTTGCCGGTCGATTTAAAGAATTCTTGTAGTGGCAAGAACACTTGAAGTACTTCTGTGGTCGTTATGAGCTTGGAATTGTTCAGGTGGCATAATCTTATTCGAGGTAAGGATAGATGGAACGCAGGAATCTCTTAAAATGTGCGGGACGCATCGTAGTTCGATATTGGAGGGAGGGTAATCGATCATTCTTCCGAAGAGAAAAGGAACTGTGATTAGAGAGTATGACTATCAGTAAGTCTTTACACATTTTCATGAATAGGTACTCACAGCTCTTGACATGATGAAGGCTAAGCTCTGTAGAAAACAGTGAAAATCTGGAGACCATGCCCGCCCTCCCGCAAACGATGGCTGCTTGGCACGGCAAGGGTTGGGAACAAAGGGGCACGAAGGGAAAAAGAAAAGAAAAACGGCACAAACGGTACCTGTTGGTGTATGTGGGAAGCCGCATGTCGTTGCACAGCAGGGTGCAACCATGCGGGAAAAGGATGTTTTAAGCAAGGCTGATGAATGCGTCGAAATGTTTCCCGAAATAGTCTGATCCGGATATATGATTCTCAGACATTTTAATACCGATTTTGAACCAATAAATTGAGTAAGTCAGGTCGATCTCAAACGGTACGGTTCTTTCCCCGCCCCAGTCTACTGTACCCCCAACGCCCCAGAACCCTTATATTAGATTTGCCAACGTAGCCGCTGGATTAGCTCCTCATAAATATGCCCCGGGGGATCATTAGATTCGTAGAAGGGTTCTAGATGATTCTATAGGGGATTGGTTCGCGGAAAGGGGGGACCTCAGGCGCCTACGAGTCTCCCAGGCGCCACTGCACGTCACTGCACGGCCCTGGAAGGAGCCTGCTTGCTCCTGCCTTTAGAATTAATGGAAGAGCAGTAGCTGAAGGCGACTCTGAGCTGCCGCTTCGTTGTGCCTCAGGCTTTCAAGGAGCATCACGTCCCCCCAAGTTCCTCACTTCTTTCGCGTCTCCCTCTCACCCTTCTTCTTTCCCACAACCAAACCTCCAAGGTTGCCTCAACACCAAAAAATCCGTACGCAAAGTGTATTCCAGATCAAAGCAGCCTTGCAATCTGCTAGGGTAAGCGAGTTCTTTCTCTTGTTTATTTTAGATGACCCCTCCGCCTCGTGCTGTTCGAAAACGGGCATTTCTGCCTGCATCGTTGACGCAGAGGCGAAAACACCATCACCACCCGCGTTTTTCCTCTTTGCATTCTTTTTTAACCTCTGTCCCTACACATACCTCACTCTTTGGAAGCTGGTCTGCCTTATTCCAAAAACCTGCTTCTCCATCTGGAGCGTAGAGTTGGAAGCGAAAACATTGTCGCTGGCCGTGTTTTTCTCCCTCTGCATCCTTGTTTACTTTCTGCCCCTACACATACTTCACTCGTTGAAAGTTGGTCTGCCTTTCTTCAAAAACCTTCTCCTTTATCTGGAGCGTGGGTTCAGAGGCGAAAACATTCTCACTGTTCGTGTTTTTCTCCCTTTGCATCTGCCCCTACACATATTCACTCTTTCAAAGTTGGCCTGTGATGGTTCTTCAAATGGGATCATATACTTACCATTATCACTCCTCTCTGACAACTTGAATGCCCCATTCCTTTGCGTACATATTGGGTACGAAGACACAAGTGCATTTGACATCAATTGGAGCGATGAGCCTCTTCCCAAGGCCATTGAGCCTTGATAACTCAGAAAGCCCTTATCGACTATCTTGTGCTGACATTTTTCTAGCTACACGTGCCCTTCGTCACACAAGGACTTTTCACCTCGGTCAGAGAACACATCTGAAATGGCTGCAGTGGACAACTGGGGATCAGGTGGTGATACCTGGAATGAGGGTGGCGGGGCCTCGGCCTCGTACGACGACCATGCTAATCATGGCGATGACAACTGCAATGGTTGTGGCCAAGAAAAGTTGGTAATGTTCGATCCCAAGCTCTAATCCTTTACTAACTAGGTGAAAGCAGGCATGATGGTGTAGACTGCCCCAATGGAGACAATGATGACAACCGTGCCGGGGATTATGACAACGATAAGTGCTTCGGATGTGGCGAGACAGGGTATGCTTCGCTCTGTTATCTACCAAAGTTGACTTGCTCTAACATTTACTCTATAGCCACCGACGTGCTGAATGCCCAACTGCCGGAGACCGTGACAACGACAAATGCTTCGGATGCGGCGAAACAGGGTAAGCTTCAATTTGTTCTCGAGCGAGGTTGATCTGCTCTAACTTTACTTTCTAGGCACCGACGTGCAGATTGCCCTACTGCCGAGGAAATGACTTGCCGTTACTGCAAGCAGCCCGGGCACATGATCAAGGATTGCCCTGACAAGCCTCCTATGCTTTGCGAGAACTGTGGCGAAGAAGGTAAGGGTGTCTCTACTGAACGATCCCGATAACATGTTAGTCTAACAAGTCCAGGCCACATGAAGAGGTCTTGCGAGAATGCTCGAAAGATCAACCGTGACCATGTCGCCGACGTCTCTACTGATGAGGCCATGAGCAAGATCAAGCAAGCCGTGGCTGAGCGGGACGTCGATGATGCCAAAGAAGGTGTCCAGGAGTATGTCAAGGCTCTCAACGGAGAGATTACATACAAGGACTTTCAGCAGGTCCTTATTGATCAAGGCATCAATCTTTGGTTCATCCCTGTCGAGAGATCGCTTCTCGAGACCTTCACCAACATGGATTGGCAGGGTAACATGGGCAAGAAATACTCCGTCACCTACCGATTCTCGGAGAAGCCCGACCGCCCCTGTGAGGTCGAAGGCTGGCCCAAGGACTCTGACGAAATTCTCACTCGTCTTGAGGATGCCGGTGATGTCGTGAGCAATGGCAAACCACTTTGCAGCAACTGCAAGCAGGTCGGCCACATTGCCAAGAGCTGCAATGAGGAGAAGGTTGAAAACATTGGCGACAAGCCCAAGGTATCCTGCTCCAACTGTCAGGAAGATGGGCACCGAGTTCGGGATTGTAAGTACTACCCCATCATCAAGTCATAGATGGCCGTCGCTCACTGATGAAATAGGCCCTATCCCTCGACCCGACAAATTTGCTTGCAAGAACTGCGGGTGAGTATCTACTTAATGCTACTCATGATGATGGATCGCTTGTGCTAATACTAAGGAAAGTCAATCTGGCCACAAAGCCGCTGAGTGTGAGGAACCACCCAACCCAGAGAACGTGGAATGCCGCAAGTGCCAGGAGAGTAAGTGATCCCAGCTGCGCAATGTTATATGATATATATTAATCGCTAGATAGAGGGCCACTTTGCCAAGGATTGCCCCCAGGGTGGCGGTCGAGCTTGCCGAAACTGTGGCCAGGAGGGCCATATCGCCAAGGAGTGCGATCAGCCGGTTAACATGGACAACGTCACCTGCCGCAATTGCGAGAAGACGGGTCATTACAGCAAGGAGTGCCCGGAGCCAAAGGATTGTAAGGCATTCTCACTAACTGATGCTTATTGATTACATGCTAATAATGCTCAACAGGGAGCAAGGTGAAGTGTAGCAACTGTGAGGAGTATGGCCACACCAAGGTCCGTTGCAAGCAGCCACCAGCCGATGCTATCAATGGAGGGGGCGACGGAGGGTTTGGTGGTGACAACAGCTATGACAACGGCTATGGCAACACCAACGACAACTTCGATGCCAACCCCGTCCCCGAGGACAGTTTCCAGGACGCCGGAACTGGGTATGATGACCAGGGCCAGGGCCAGGGCAGTGGCGGTTGGTAGAAGGCGATGATTCCAGCCAAATCTGTACGAGGACCGTGAGAATGGACCTCAAGCTAAGCTCACGGCTGGCACGAGATGCGAAAAGTTCAAGTACGATGATGATACATGCATTGAAAAAATCCCATGGCTAGGAACTAGCTACTAGTTAGATAGCTTCTGAAAAGTCATATAATTGACAAAAAGGAATTGAAAAAAAGGTTCGAGTTCGATCACGATGGCCCATCTTGAAAGTAGATTTTTAGCCGCTTCTTTACTCCTCTTGCTCAGGTTGGCATCTGGTTTGGCATGTTGTTTACCTTCAACTTGATG